AATTGAAGAGGAAAAGAGGCGATCTAAAGTATTAGCTGATTTAAATCACCAAAGAATCTTGTTCTTTCAAGGCATTAGTCATGAATTAAAAAGTATTGATCTATTATCTATAAAATAAAAAAAAATTTTCCAGAGATATATTGCTTAAATAGACTTAATGACTTAATCTCCATTTCAGCACCGTTAACTTTAATGCTTTCACCACTTGATGACATAATTACTTCATGTCCAAGAGAAGCGTCAATAGTGTCACATCTTCAAATTATACGACGTAACTCCCATCGATTGCTTAAACTTATTAACTCTTTGTTACAAGTAGGTTATATTCTAAAAAATATTTAATAATTTCCAAAACTATTATTAAAGACTATTTTCACCTTTTATACAGTTTTCAAATCTAGAAGCTGATAAGTTAGAAATTCAGTATCGTGAAACTAATTTACTCAAGAATTAGTTTCAGACTTTAAAAATATGGCCGAAACATTAGGCTTGGAATATGTTATTGATATTCCAGGTTCGAACGAATTTAATCAAGCCATGGGAGATAAGATTTATTTAGATCATGATATGTATGAAGCAATTGTACTTAATCTATGTAAGCGTTTTCTAAAAAAAATATGTATAAGATATTGTTTTCACACCTTTCATTCATTAAAACATGCAGTGATTGTTGTATTAAATGTGTTAAAAGGTTCGAATGCTTTAAAGCATACTTGGAATGGAAGCGTAACTATTCGCTTATATCTTGACTACAAAGATAATGAAAAGATGGTACTGTAGTTCTTGAAGTATCTGATACAGGTTAGTAAATTTTCTGACTTATTAAACTAGACACCCTTTTTTTTTTTTATTATGACTGTTATTATATCCTAATTATATCTGAATTAATTTAGGAGTTGGTATTCCAGAAAGCGCTCTCCCAAATATATTTCGGCGTTTTTACCGTGCAGAATCTCAAAGTTCTCGTAGCCAGGAAGGCACTGGAATAGGGCTTGCTCTTGTCAAAGAACTTATTACATGTCATGGTGGAGATATTACTGTAACTTCAGCAGTAAATAAAGGAACAACATTTAAATGTTGGTTTCCAATAGGACACGAGCACTTACCGACAAATCAAATTAGCTTTGATAACGTTGAAAACCCAACAGCTTGTGTTCGGGAATCATGCATTAATCGACAGCTTTATTTAGAAGAAAGTTCTCAGTGGATAATAAATCAAACACATGAAGTTCAAAATGCTATAGACTCTATAGATAAATTGTCGTTAGATGATCAGGATATGGATATTGATAAAATTTTAACAGATGATGTCATGTCTTATGTCTCTATAGATGATTTTGTTAATGAGAAGAAATATCAAGTTTTACTTGTTGATGATAATGATGATATGCGGTAATACTTTTTTTTTTTTATTCAAATAAAATTAATCGCTTTTATAATTAAATTCAAAATTATAATATTATTTTACATGTTTATAGCGATTATCTGGCAGATCTTTTAAAAGAATTTGACGTACTTCGTGCTTGCGATGGCCGTGATGCCATACGAGTTTTAAAGAAACTTAGAAAATTACCAGACTTAATTCTTAGTGGCATGTAATTTTATTTATATATCTTATGCACAACGATAATAATTATTAAATTGTATTATCGTTATTGTTATTTGAATTTAATAGATGTTACGATGCCAAATATGGATGGGTATGAGTTATTAGATTTATTAAGATCTAATGTAAAAACTCAATTGATTCCAGTAATTTTATTATCCGCAAATGCCGGTGAAGATTCTAAAATCGAAGGTAAAATTAATTCATTGTATTTACAATAGGTTATTCTATTTTCTATATCAGTTATTTGATTTTTTTTTTTTTGTTACTTTAGGGTTGGATAGAGGAGCAGATGACTATTTAACAAAACCATTTTCTGCTCGAGAATTAATTACTCGTATTCGTGCTAATATTCAACTCTCACTTCTTCGTCGTAAAATATCATTTCAACAATATACGCATGAAGAAACAAAGCAATTATTACTTTCAATATCAAATAAGATTCTTTCTGGATTAGATCTGAATGAAACATTGTTAAATATTGTTAAAGAGATCCATCATAAATTACCAAGTCAAAGGATATTTATTGTTATAAACGACCAATCTAGTTTTAAAAATGATAAAATAGTTGCTTTATATGAAGACCCGAAAAATCTATCACCGATGACTAATCTATCAACTGAAGTTAATGACGGAATTAAAGATAAATCAAAAACATTAGCCAATTTACAAAAATCTTTAGATAATAATTCTGGAGTTGAGGTCTTTTTAGATGTATATTGTGATAATGTTTGTAAAAATGTATCAGTATTGTCTGCAGAAATAAGGTTGGAAGATTTTTGTTGGGGATGGATAAAAGTACATAGATCGCCAAATTCTATTTGGCTCGATTCCGAAATAGAATTATTACAACAAATATCGAATCAAATAAGTTTAGGTATTACTTATGCAAATATGTTGGCGGAAAATGCTGCAAATGAAATTAAAATAAAGGCTGCTGAAATTGCAAATAAGGCAAAGAGTCAAATATATCATTCTCATTGTGTATCACGCATAATCTCCAACTTTCTTCATCTTGCTAATTAATTCTAATTACCATTATTATTCCATTCTTATTTCATTCTTATTCCATTATTATTCTATTATTCTATTCTTATTCAATTATTATTCTATTCTTATTCCATTCTTATTCCATTCTAATTCCATTCTTATTCCATTCTTATTTCATTCTTACATGTAATAGAATTACGAACACCATTAGGTGCGATAGTGGGCATTCTTTCTTCCTTTGAGTGTACTAACTTAAGCGCTGATCAAAGAGAAATGATTAATATCATGGCACGAGCCTCTGATATAGTTTTATCTATAGTAAATGATATTCTGGATGCAGCAAAATTAGAAGCACGAAAAATCTCTTTAATTAATAGAACCTTTGATTTATTAGAATTATTTGAGAGTACGATTGAATCATTTGGAAAAAAAGCTGGAGCTAAAAAGATTGAACTAATTGTAAATTGTGAGGTAGATATATTGCCGAGATATGTTAAGAGTGATCCTGAGAGGTGATTAAAAAATTAATGTACTTCCTTATACTAGATTTTTTTAAAAAAATTACTTTGTTTCTTTCGTCTCTTATTATTGTAAATAGGCTGAAACAAGTTTTATCTCATTTATTATCAAATTCGTAATTATTCATCTTTATTTATATTCTATACGCATATATTTATTTCTCATAGCCTAATTAATTAAATTTAATAATCATTCTTAATTTCTTAGAATTAAATTTACCGACAAGGGTAAAGTCGTAGTGACAATTTCAGTGCAATTACAAAATGTTATTGATGAAGACAAAGATAAACCAGCTTATGGCCAAACTACTAAAAAAGGAAATTTGTTGATTGAATTATATGACACTGGCATTGGGTAAGATAATATACTCTATAGTTCTGTATATTCTGTTATATATATTCTATATTATAGATTTTAAACGTATGTTAGTACAGTATAGGGACTGGACTCGTCAACTCGTGACTCGAGTGATTCGAATTTATCACTCTTCGAATCATGAAAGTTTAACTCGCGAGTTATTCGCAAATTAATTAAT